AAAATAAATATATCCTGACATGAGAATATAGATTTGGTTTGCTAATTTGTGTCAAGCTCAGTTGTTAGTTATTTCTTTATAACTTCTGAAATTTTTAATTTTGTTTTCTTTAATTAGTGAAAAGATATTGAGACAACTTGATATTTGCATCTCGGTGATAACTTAAGACATTTTCTGCTTCAGCTGCCTAAGTTGCCTTGTACCTACGCAAGTATTAGACTGCTGAGAGAAGAGCAGCCAGTGGGCATTCTGGACCTGGTTAATCCCAAATTTGTGTTAATTACGCCAGAATGTCAGAATAGCTGCTTAATTTTATGTTTTAATGATGGGGATGGTGGGAAACAGGAGGCGCATCTTGCCACCCAGGTGCTGGTAGCGAACTTTCCTGCTAAGCCACAGCACCTGCTGTTGAGTGCAGGCCAGATCCGGCTGGGCTGTAATACCTGTTGGCTTATGTGAGAGCCAGATGTGGGGATAGGCCAGACAAGGTCAGTCCATAGCACACGCTGGCATGAGTGACATGGCATGGGGTATACACCATGCCTGGTAGCATAAGGGCTGTGGGCTAGGAGTATGCCTGGCTGGGCTGGGCTACAACACATACTCTCAAAGGCCAGAAATGGGAGTGTGCCATCTCAGACTGGGCTGTAGTGTCTGCTGGCATGTACAAGACCAAGAGCTGGGAGTGGGCATAGTAGGAGAACCTCCACAACTCCACTGCTGGGTTGTTGCTTCCACAGGTGAGCATGAGAGTTGAGTTTGGGGACTGGCCATGTTGGACTAGGCTGTCACAGCCACTGGCATGAGAGCCAAAATGAGAGTAGGCCACTAGGTGGACTCTGTCAGCCAATAGACCTTAGGAAGATTTTTCTCTACCCTGGCACGGTGAAGCCAAAGATGTCTTATAAGTGCCCAAACCTCTTGGGTAACACCCTTGGAACACTCTACCCAACCTGGGGTCTCTAGGCAATCACCAAATGACTGTCCCCACCTCCAGGTGCTGAGGTAGTCTGACAGCAAGGAAGTAGCCTCCTCCTCCCCTGTTGACACCGGAGGAGAGGGGACTTGAAATGTGTCCCACCCACCTTCTTCCATACCTGACCCTTCCTACCATAATTAGAGGCCTTACAAGGGCATGCATCTTTCTCAACTATATAAACAATATTAAGAAAATTTAAAAAATAATAAAGCAGTCTTCAAAGTTGTGTTTGCTTTTTCCCTAGACACTTTATATTTGTTATTAGGCAATAATATATTTTTTTAAGTCCTGCCATACCCAATTTGCACATATCTGAATCTTCTGCCTTTATCAAATTATTTCTGCTTTAGATTCATGCTCAGCTCCTGAAGGGCCCTCTTATTTTAAATCAAGTCATTTTCTTTGAGAATATCTACATGTGTTTGTACTTCTAGAAGTATAGATTGGTTTTAAATATGTAATCACTAAAACTGACAGTGCAGTTATGTGCACTGGAAGGCAAGAAAGCCCTCAATAAAAGGATCCTTGTTCATGATCATTTTGCTTTCTTTTTAAAGAGAAAGTTTCCTTAAATGAAGTAGCTCATTTTCTAATGATAGTAGTAACAAGTGACCTTAATTTTGTAATTGCCTTCCTTCATTGATCTTTTTCCCTTCTGTGAAAATGGAAACAAATCTTTGAACTAAGCTCTAGTTTTGGTAACTGGACCAATTATAACAGACAGCAATGCACAAGATAAGGCAAATATAGGGGAAATTGGCCAAGAATGAAGAGTAATAGATGCAAGGAAATTATTTCAAATCCGTGTTTAAAAATTAAACAATTTATTATTTGGGTTTATAATAACATTTTTTGACACTTTGAAATTCCATACCATTCTTTAGCATCATATTATCCTAGTATGCAATAATTTTATATATTACCAATAAAGTACCAACTACACTAATTTAGAAACTGGAAACACCTGTAATATAAACCTAAAATCAGATAACATCAAAGTACCAGTTACCTTAACTGTATCATTTTCTGATTTAGTAAGGTAGGACTGGTGATGGAATGGGAGGATATTGGATAAGTTATGGATATTCCATGAATTTTGGAAAAGGACTCTGAAATAAGCAACAGGTAGAGATGTTAACTTTAAGTATAGAGATAATTTCATTTTGCAGTTTTTAGGATTTGACCTCTTGATTACTTGTTTTGTTATTCATGTTGACTCAGACCAGTATTAAACATAATCATGAATCAAGGAGTTCTAGTTCTTGAATCAATGAGTTCAGCTACAGGCATCTGGTCACTTTTTTGGAGAGAGGGAAGATACAAATTAAATCCACAATTAAAACCATTAAAGGAAAGAATATGATGATTGAAAGTAGGTCCTCTCACAGCCAGGACAGCAAATAAGAGCACCTTTGTTCTTGGAAAAATAGCTTGAAGTTCTTATTTGTGGACATCATTCTCTGAGAAATGAGCACCTCTCTACTTTTTTTTTGATGCTTCTAAACCATCTAAAATATATTTTAGCCCGTTAAGTCACAATTTTCTAATATTAGTTACATTTTATGTAGTTACCCTGAAGAGGCTTAAGAAATATCTTGGTCTCATCAATATTATATTTATAAATGAATTTAAGGAATTAAATATTGAGCACAGTTCCCTAGTTCACAGAGTGTAACTCTTAGTTATGCAGTGCTGAGCACTGATGAGCACATCACTGAAGGTAAAGCAACTTAAGAAGAAAAGAGGTGATATCATATTATAACCTTTATGTTGTATAATGCCATTTATATCTTACAGAATATAGGCATTTGAAAAATTATAAACTGAACTTGTAGCATTCCATTTGGCTTCTTGATGTTTCTATTTCCTTAACCCCATTTTCTTTCATTAACCACCTAATGAGTAGCCGTGTATTGAGTACTGTGCTGCACAGTTGTGACAGAGGATGTGTGCTTCAGAGAAGTTCTTCAGAAGTATCCTTCCCACTGAGAAACACACATGAAAAGCAAAATAATCTGCAGAATCCATTTAAATGTAGTAATATTATTACAGTATATTAGACTAGGATAAATATAAAACGAATTTAACGTGGGTCTTGGGAATTTGGTATTCAAAGATAAACTGGGGATTTAACAGATATGTAAGGAAGGAAAGAACTTATAAGCAGGAATTAGTAATTAAAGTACCTGGTAAGTTTGCAGGACTTTTGTTATTTGGTACCCAGTACAGATTGTATGTAGAGTTGTTATGAGAGAAGAGATTCGGGGATTAGATAAGAATCAAATATAAAAAGTTTTGGACCTGATCAATTTGGTAGTAGAGATCTGCTTAAAAATCTTAAACTTGAAATGCCTTAGTTGATTGACACATGACTTTAAGAAGCATCGTGAAACTAGTGGATGATTACTTAGGCTGTTCCAGATGAATCTAATGGAGTGTGAACTGCATTAATAGGAACGGAAGATAAAGGATGATACACTATGTTAGAGGTTCATTGCTTATAAGAGGTGAAGGAAGGAAGATTTAGGTTGGGCTATAGATTTTCTGATGTGGATCTATGTGTTGAGGATATTGTCAGTATTTAAAGAAAGGTTTTTAAAAACCAGTAGATTTTAGTACAAGTATGATCTCATGTTTAGGCAATAAATTTGAGACACCTGTAATCTATCTAGAAAACATATTTCTGGTAGGCAATAATGGGTTAGTGTATAAGGTTTGAGTTAGAGAAAGAAATCTAGGATTTGTCTTAGGAAAACTGGACCGAGAATAAAATATCTTCAATAACTCAGGACCAGGAAAGCAGATAAATGGAAAACAGTGAACAAGAAGCTTGAAAGCATTTCCACAAAATGATAGGCAAATGGATGATAAACATAAGAAAGTGGGGCTTGGCTTATTATCATTAGACATTATATGTATACAAATTAAATTGCAGTGAGAACCCACCAGTTAGGATGTCTAAAATGGGAAGGAAAGGGTGAAAAAATAATAGCAAGTGATGGCAGCGTTGCGGAGCAACTGGAACAGTTACTGTCTTTGACAGGATCTTCTAACGAACGAATGGATAAGCCATATGTTATGACTGGTGATATGTGTGTGTACGTATGCACATGCTTGTGTGCATGTACCCATGTGGTGAGTTGTGGGGATTTGTATCTTATCCTATGATCAGTTTGAATCTACCAATGGTTTAAAACACTACTTGCAAAATTCTTCAGTGGTTAAGAATTAGTAGAAGCTTTTGCAGTTCCACTTCTGGTTAGATAGCCATCAGAAAAAAACATACATTAACCAAAAGACACATGCTAAAACATTTGCAGCTACTCAATTGATAATGTCAAAAACTACACCTGGGCGGGCAGGCATTGTACAACAGATTAAGCTGCCTCATGGATGCCTGTAACCCATATAAGAATGCCTAGATCAAGTCTTGCCTCTGTTTCTGATTTAGCTTCCTAAAATTGCAGCCACCGGGAGGCGATAAATAATGGTTCAACTAGTAGCGTCTTTGTCACCCCTATGGAAAGAAAACCTGAAACAACCCAACTGTCTCTGTGGTATATTCTTAAAAAAAAAAAATCTATTTGTTTATTATTGAAAAGTCAGAGTTACAAAGAGAAAGAGAGACAGAGAAAGTTCTTCCATCCGCTGCTTCACTCCCCAAGTGACCACAACAGCTGGAGATGAGCGCATCTGTTGCTGGGTGCTGGGAGCTTATTTGGGTGCAAGGTCCCAAGGCGTTGGCCCGTTCTCAACTGCTTTCCCAGGCTACGAGCAGAGAGCTGGATGGGAAGTGGATCAGCCAGGATATGAACCTGCCCCCATATGGGATCCTTGTTCATGCAAGGTGAAGACTTTAGCCACTAGGCTACTGTGCCAGGCCTTCTGTGGTATATTCTTGGAATATGACAATGAGACTGACATTCTATTTGGACTCTAATTACACACAATGAATAGAAATGTATATCGAAAACATAAAGTTTAAACCAGACAGAAAAAGATATATATCATGCAATATTTGTAAAGCTCAAACGCAATCTAACTGATTTTGGCTACTAGACATGAAGGTAATGAGTAACCTTGTTTGACAGGTCATGACTGAAAGTGACACAATGGTACTTTTCAGGCTTAGATTGTGTTGTTTCAGAATTTGGATGCCATTTACTAGAAAGTACTAACCTTGTTTCAGTTCATTGAGGTGTAACGTGTACTTTTCTGAATGTGCATTCTATGTAAACAGCAAAAACAAGATGTGATTACTCAGGAGGTCCACATGCCTGTGTGCATGCGCCTCCAGACCTCGAGGAACACAGAACCCAATGTGCATTCCTGCTCTCCTTTTTCCCCAGGACTCCTTGCAGCTGTTGTCTGACAAAACCTAACGAGGTCAGAATAATGCAGTTATGAGGCTTTGTATTAGAGAGCAGGACTGCCCTTGGAGCATTTCTGCATACAGACTAGTACAGGGCACACTTGGAGTAAACTGTCCTTATGTTTTAGAAACTTTAAGAGTTGAAGGACAAGCAACTTCTATGAAGAGAACTACTATCTAGAGACAGGAGATGTTGCTGTCTGATGTGAAATAGCTTTCTTTTTCTTTCTTTCTTTCTTTTTTTTTTTTTTTTTTTTAGCCTTTGTAAGGTAGTAAATCCCAGTATGTGCCTTTCAGTTGTTCCCTCTCTTTGATTAACTGAAATGATGTGGCCTGTGAATTATTTCATTTCAGGAGACAACAAATAAGGACTGCCATACTCCTAAAGGAATGTCTCCTAAAGGAATGTTTTTACAAGTAGGGAGAGAAAAACTTCCCATTCAATAAAAGTGTCCATTATTTCATAAATGTCCATTTCCCATAACACTAAAAATGTGAATGTTTGCTAATTTGCATAGTCTATCTTTTCCAGAAATGGCAAACAGCCTTTTGAAGACATCATCGCTATCTATGAGGACCAAATTGCTACATCAAACAGGAGTGTCACTTTATAATACATCTCATGGCTTCCATGAAGAGGAAGTAAAAAAAAAACTTCAGGAATTTCCTGGTGGATCTGTTGACCTCCAGAAAGAAGACAATGGCATTGGGATTCTTACTCTGAACAACCCAAGTAAATTGAACGCTTTCTCAGGTATCAATGATCTTTGATTTGATAGATCAAGAAGGAAACTATATCAACAGGTGTCTGCCAGAATTCTTAAAACCCATGATACTTTTTGTAGAACATGGGGAAAGAAAACCCCACTAAAATTCTGTAATGTGAACCAGGAACATTTTTACTATGAGTATTTTAAAGTTTTCTGAAAATTCATAATCACAGATGTTGACTGAAAGGAGTTTCACTTTCTCTATGAGGCTTTAGATGATCGGTCTGAGTGTGTTCAGTACTTACTTGACGCAGAAAAGCCCACAAAATCATAGGAACTTCAACTCCCAAGATACTGCCCAGACCATCAAGGGCATCCATGTACAAAAAGTGAGAAAATATCTGAATGATGTCACATTGAAGACATGACACGCACCAATAGATGGTTACAAATGCTGGATTTGGTAGGTGTGCCCAGGTCAGGGGTTACACAGGATCTGTGGCCCAAAAAGAGTGCTGGGCTTTTTTTGTACATGCTTAAATTTGCCAGAAGTAATGCTGAACATCAGAGTTCTGGCGTAGATTCTCTGATTTCTTGAACACATCCAGAGGAATAAACACCCAAGATGCACAGCAGTATCTACAGAGATCATGGTTGGATTAACCCAACAGGAGCTCTCTGTGCTCAGCTGGGGTGATCCTCACTGACAAGGAACAGGTTGTTCCTAAGCCGGAAGAGGAAGTGGCACGGAGGAAGATATCCCAGAAGAAGCTAGGGAAAGAAAAACTAATGCCTTGGGAATAAATGCAACATAAGAATAAATGGTAAATTAAGACAAAAAAAAAAAAGGAAACTTAGGTTCATGGTGGTTATTTTTGCAACTGGAATGTAGTTGGCATTTTATCAACTGAAATGTATTTGCTTTTAGCTAATGCCACTGGGAAACAAGGGGAGGAAAGTTCCAAACATTTTTTTTTCTTAAGATTTATTTTATCGGAAAGGCAGATTACAGACAGAGGAGAGACTGAGGGATATCTTCCATCCTCTGGTTTACTCCCCAAATAGCTGCAGCAGCCCAAACTAGGCCAGTGCAAAGCTGGAAGCCAGAAGTATCTTCTGGGTCTCCCATATGGATGCAGAGACCCAAGGACTTCAGCCAGTCTCCATTGCTTTCCCATATAGGGAGCTGGTTCGGAAGTAGAGCAGCCAGGACTCGAGCTGGCGCTGTATGCAGAGGCTTAGCCTACTGTACCACTGTGCCACCCTTCAGATATTTCCTAAGACTGAACAGAAAAGCCTCTACATTAAAATGATTCCTTTAAAAAAGATTTATTTAATTCAATTGCAAAGGCAGATACAGAGAAAAGGAGCTACAGAAAGAGGACCCTCCATCTACTGGTTCACTCCCTAAAGGGCCATAATGACTGGAGCAAGCCAATCTGAATCCAGGGCCAGGAGCTTCTTCCAGGTCTTCCACATGAGTGCAGGAGTCCAAGTACTCAGATCATCATCTGCTGATTTTCTAGACCAAAAGCAGGAATCTGGGTGGGAAGTGGAGCATCCAGTACACAAATTGGTACCCATGTGGGATGCCAGCACTTTGTAGGTGGAGGATTAGCATGTTGATCTACCACTCCAGCCCATGAAATGGTTCTTTAAGTTTTTATAATTGAGATAAGAGGACTATCATTTATTACTAATGAAAGCTTTCATTTGCTCTTCAAGATTCTTAGCCTGTGATAATTCTGTATCTCAGAAACTTGAAGATTCAGGACATATAGTGATTTGTAGTTTTTGCCAAAACTCTCATGAAATTATTATCAGACTTAATGAATAATGCTGATTGCCATTCACATTTCAAAGTAACTGCGATTATCTCTACTAATTATAATTGTGCATATAATAAGGTATAAATTACATTCTCTAGTAGTCCAGTTTTGAAATATTGGATTCAAAACATCCAAATAAATCTTTATATATCCGCTTTATGTAAAATAATATCTATAGGTATAATTCAGTAGACTGCACATTTTGTAAATTTTTGGTGGTACATCTTGAGCTGTTGCTCAGTACCAATGCTGAACAAGAGAAATGCAAAACACTAAGGTGAGCCACATATGTAACTTTAAATGCTTCAGTAAGTATAGTTTTAAAAAAAGTAAAGAAATAGCTAGGATTGATTATAATGACATATTGTAGTTAAATCAGTGTATCCAGCACATCATTCCAACTTGTCACTCCTGTGAAAACTTACCCTTTGCATTTTCACACGAAGTGTTATGAGATCTGATGTTCATTTTATGCTTAGTGCTGTGTCAGTTTGAGATAACCACACTTCAGATGTTTAACAGTTGCATGGGACTGATGGCCACTATGGACAGTGTGGCTCCATACTTTAAATTGGTTGTGGAAAAAAAAATCTTAAAATTTAGCCCAGGGAAAGTAATTTTAGAACAACAAAAAAGGGTTAAATTTAATGAACCATTTTAAATATTACTGAATAGTTGCAAATAATTTTTTTAAATGTAAACATAATTTGATGTATTATATATAAAGATGGTAAAACTATAGCTGCTCGGGTTTGGGTAATAATGTTTAGTTTGGTGGGGTTGAAAGAGGTGACCTAGGTCCTCAGGTTACTTATTTAGAAACCACCTCAAGGTCTCTTGAGTTTAAGATTAAAAAGTTGTATAGATTTTTTGATACTCAAGCTCAAAATAAGTCTCTTTTAGAAGTTTAAATGTAGGCCCAGCGTGATAACATAAGGGTTAAAATTGCTGCCTTGCATGTGCTGGGATCCCATGTGGTCACTGGTTCCGATCCTGGTGGCCCCACTTCCCATCCAGCTCCCTGCTTGTGGCCTGAGGACCCTGCACCCATGTGGGAGACCTGGAGGAGGATCCTGACTCCTGGCTTCAGATTGGCGCAGCACTGGCCATTGTGGTCACTTGGGGAGTGAGTCATTGGATGGAGGATCTTCCTCTCTGTCTCTCTCCTCTCTGTATATCTGACTTTGCAATAAGGGTCAATAAATCTTAAAAAAAAAAAAAAAGTTTAAATATTGGGGCCTGCACAGTACATAACTGACTAATTCTCCATGTCCAAGCATGGCATCCTCTATGGGTGCTATTTCGTGTCCGAACTGCTCCAGTTCCCATCCAGCTCCCTGCTTGTGGCCTGGAAAAGCAGTGGAGGATGGTCCAGTCCTTGGGACCCTGTACTCTTGTCAGAGAAGAAACTCCTGGCTCCTGGCTTCGGATCAGCACAGCTGCAGCTATTGCGACCATTTGGGGAATGAGCCAACAGCTGGAAGATCTTTGTCTCTCCTCTTCTTTCTAAATCTGTTCTTAAAAAGAAAAAAAAAAAGAATTTTAAAGAAAATGTGTTTAAATATTACAAATAATTGAAGCTCTGCATTTACTTATGCAAATTTATTCTTACTCTAAATGTATAGGTTCTTTGTTTTCCCACTTAACTGTAAGCATTTACAAAAAAGAACTATATTTCTCAAGCACCTAGTAGCAGGTACTTCGGAAGGACTACAACTTAAGCAGGGTATAATTATCAATTAGAAAGAGAAACTGCATTAGTGGTTTGTGAGTTAATAGCATTAATTTAACATTGTGGATCCAATTTACTGATTGCCTCAAAAATGACCAAGAAAGCAATAGTTCCTGCCATGTGGGATTTGATTCCGGGGTCGTTTAGTGTCAAACTTGAAAACACAGTCTACATTTGTTTCCTTTTCTCCTTCTCCTTGTGCCCCTTCTCTTCCTCCTCCCCGTCCTCTCCATCCTCCTCCTCTTTTCAGCCAATTACATCTCCTCTTTTGTGAACTTCACATTGTTTTCTTTTTTAAAAGATTTATTTTATTTTTATTGGAAAGGCAGATATACAGAGAGGAGAGACAGAGAGGAAGATCTTCCATCCGATGATTCACTCCCCAAGTGAGTGCAATGGCTGATGCTATGCCGATTCGAAGCCAGGAAGACTCTTCGGGTCTCCCATGTGGGTGCAGGGTCCCAAAGCTTTGGGCCATCCTTAACTGCTTTCCAGGGCCACAGGCAGGGAGCTGGAAGGGAAGCGGGGCTGCTGGGATTAGAACCAGCGCCCATATGGGATCCCGGGCGTGCAAGGCGAGGACCTTAACCACTGTGCCATCGTGCCAGGCCCCACATTGCTTTCTAAAGCATTTCCGAGAGGAAAATAAATTCATCGTACTGAGAACATTAGGAACTTTATGTACTTGAACTATCTAAACATACCTGAAAATTGCTGACAAGATTCTGAAAGATGGTCCCTGATGTTACCATTTTAAATCTGTCTACTATAAAACATGCTTTGACATAATTTTACAATGATATCAAGATAACGCACCGACCTTTAAATTGTAGGCCTGTGTTAGTAGGCCTGTGATGCACTCATAGCACACCTCAGGCCCAGCACAATTTATAGGACACAAATGCAATGTGTCCTTTCCTGGACTAGTACCTTGTTACACTGCGTCAGCGTGAGTAGGGTAGAAATCTTAAATTGAGATCTTATTGTCTGATGCTATACTCGTGAAACTTGTTCAGCCTGTTGACTGAGACAAGTTGAGACTTAGATAAATCTGAAATCAGATCTATGTTTTATCTTTAAGTAACCATTTTCTTATTTCCATATTGTGTTTTTTTCATTTCAAGTTTCTATTTAGGGACTATATAATATATTCATATTTTTCTTGCTAATCATATATTTATAAGATTTTAAAGTTTTTGCTAATATAAAGAAAACATGTTCATGCCTTCCATAGGCACATATCCCTTGCTGACCTGCTTCCCCTATACTACTTCCTCCCCTTCTATCTCATCAACAATTTTTACACAGTCCTAATTTTAATCCATTCTATATTCACAGCCTTAATTCACCAATAATCATAATATTCCAGAAGTAAAAACAGGATTGCCGCAAGACCACATTTCCACTAGAGTATAAACATGGGCTAAATTGACAATTCAAACCAAAGCAGCCATTTCATTCCTATACTTTTTTTGTGTGTGTTCTATATTAGCTTCCTAACATCAGAGAAAACCTGTGATATTTGTCTCTTGGAAACTACTTCAATTGCTAAGAATAATGGTTTCCAGGTATACCTATTTGGTTGCAAAAGACAATATTTTATTATTTTTAAAAATATTTATTTGAAAGGCAGACTTACAGCGAAAGAGAGAGAGAGAGAGAGAAAGAAAGAGATTCTCTGACTCCATCTGCTGGTCACTCTCCAGATGACCACAATGCAGGGGCTAGACCAGGCCAAAGCCAAGAGCCAGGAGATTCTTCCAGATCGCCCATATGGATAGGGGCCTCAAAGACTCGCCATCCTCCAGGACTTTGAAAGGCGTTTTAGCAGGGAGCTGGGTTAGCAGTCAACAGCCAGGTGTCAGAGTATCACCCATATGGAATGCAGCATTGTAGGCAGCAATCCAACCTTTCTACCCCAGTGCTGACCCCACTTGCATGAAATCTTTTTTAAAAATATATTTATTTTTACTAGAAAAGATAAACAGAGAGGAAAATCTTTTATCCATTGATTCTCTCCCCATGTGACCGCAATGGCTGGAGCTGAGCCAATCCAAGGCCAGGAGTCAGGAACCTCCTCTGGGTCTCCCACGTGGGTGCAGGGTCCCAAGGCATTGGGCCATCTTCGACTGCTTTCTCAGGCCACAGGCAGGGAGCTTGATGGGAAATGAGGCTGGCAGGATGTGAACTGGCCCCCCATATGGGGTCTCGGCGCATGCAAGGCACTAGGCTACTGTGATGGGTCCACATGAAATCTTAACATAGATAGATAGGATAGGATTGGCAGTATGCAGTTTTGGCTGCTGCTTTGGAAAATCAGATATACAGAGAGGAGGAGAGACAGAGAGGAAGATCTTCCGTCCAATGATTCACTCCTCAAGTGACCCCACGGCCAGAGCTGCGCTGATTCGAAGCCAGGAGCCAGGAACCTCTTCCAGATTTCTCATGCAGGTGCAGGGTCCCAAAGCTTAGGCTGTCCTCAACTGCTTTTCCAGGCCGCAAGCAGGGAGCTGGATGAGAAGCAGGGCCCATATGGGATCCTGGTTGTCTTCAAGGTGAGGACTGCAGCCACTAGGCCACGGCGCCGGGCTCTAGACTGCTGCTTTAGATGTGCACATGTCATATTGGAGTGCCAGTTCTAGTCCTGACACCTCTGATTCTATTCCAGCTTCCTTTTCATGCATCATGGGAGGCAGTAGATAAGGGCATGAGTATTTGTTCTTGGGGTGAGGGAAGGGAGAAAGAGAGAGAAGAGAACTTTAGAAGAGAAGACGATGGTGGGTACTGATTAACTCGAAGTGTCTGCCACCGCTGAGCTAGGCTGAGGCCACATCCCAGAGCTGGGTCTCCCACATGGGTGGCAGGATCTCAATTACACTCGTTACTGTGCATTTTTATGAATTCCTAAATTATTTCGTATTTTTCTAGTGTATTTTATGTCCCAGCAGTTTCTTCCTTTCCTCCCTGGCAGGTGTTATGATGCTACAACTCCTAGAAAAAGTCATTGAATTAGAAAATTGGACAGAGGGGAAAGGCCTCATTGTCCGTGGGGCAAAAAACACGTTTTCCTCAGGATCGGATTTGAATGCTGTGAAAGCACTAGCCACCCCAGAGGCAAGTGTTTTATTTTATGCATTAATCTTACATGCTTCTCAGACATCTGTGGATGAAACATTTCTATTTTATCATAGGATTGTTTTTTAATTTCAATTTTTGTTTTTCATCACATGGGTCCATAGGCACTGGGATTTCCCCTTCTCCACTACTTTCACCCATATTATTGCAATAGTACAGTCCTTCACCAACAGTGACAACTCCATCTTTCTGCTATTTATACATATCATGACCTTGTAGATACAAGACAATGGTAGAACTCTAGCATTCGATTCTCAAGATGTATTTAAAGTTTCATTGGAAGTCCTTTTATTCAGGAGTAGAAATGTATACTGCAACGTATTTTCACTTCCCGGAATTCTAGTCTCCATTATACAGTTCATCTATGAGAATATATGTGTATACATGTTTACTTACATGTCTAATTATTCATATTTTGTATGAAGGTTGCCTTATATCAGAGTGAACATAAGATATTTGTCCTTTCTGCACCCAGAATCCATCAGACTATTAGAGGAAAACATAGGTAGCACTCTTTAAGATACAGACATTGGTAAAGGTTTTTTTAAAAGTCACAACAAGCATAGGTAGGCAATGCCAAAATAAACAGATGGGATTGTGTCAAACTAATAAGCTTCTGTGCCGCAAAAGAATTAACAAAGCAAATAAGCAACCAATAGAATGAGAGGAAATTTTTGTGCAATAAGGAACTGATAGGGACTAATGCCAGGATTCACAAAGAGTTGCAGGAACTCAGCCACAGCAAAGCAAACAACACTGTCAAGAATTGGGCAAAGGAAATGAGCAGGCATTTTTCAAAAGACAAAATTTAAATGGCTAATAGACATATGAAAAAATGCTCAGGTTCCCTAGTTATCAGGGAAACACAAATAAAAGCCATAGTGAGGTCTTACCCAACTCCAGTAAGATTGACCTACCTTTGAAAATCTACAAACAACACCTGCTGACGAAGATGTGGGGAGAAAGGTACCCTACTCAAATGTGGGAGTGTAGCCTAGTACAGCCACTGTGGAAGTCAGTATGGAGTATGCTCAAACAGATGAAAATTGACCTAGCATCAAGCACTTGAGGGAAAACTCTTACAAAAAGTTTGAGTTTGGCAGAATTGTGAATTGAAGAGTCAAAGATAATAATAAAAAATTTAACCTTGTTGGCTATCAGTTTAGAACTCAAATTTGTTGTGTTTTACAGAATGAATATATTCATCTTTGTGGCTTTTGTAACTATCCTTTAATTCAACTAGGATAGATTTCTTTTTGTTCTTCATTGCTTTTGAAAAGGAAACTTAAGTCCACATTTATGGTTTGATGAATTTCTTTTTATTATTAGTTTGAAACACTAAGATTTAAGTCAAAACTAAGGTTGTGTATGTGTGTGTGTGAGCCCTAGTTGTTTTTGCAATGCTGAGTTTAAAGTATTGGCAGAATGGGAACATGCCTACCACATTTCAGCACTTAACATATAAACAGTAAAGTCATCTCAGTGGATGAGGTATCCAAGAAATAAAGAAAAATCATGGATTGGATTTGGGGTCATACATGCATTTAGGGAATCAACTAACAAGCTAAGAAAAACAAATAAAACCAACTTGAACTACTTTCCAGAAATGTGTAATTTGTGGAGATAAAAATCCAAATTGCACCAAGCTTAACATAACTGTCCTCTTCCTCCCTTCCTCTCTGGGCATTTGTCTTCTCAGGAGGTAGCAGATGGCAGGTTTTCTGTGTCTGCGTAGACAGGATTGCACCTTGCTCTGGGGGAATGTGATGTGACTCTGACTCCTGTGTCTTTGTTAGTACCTCCTGCAAAGCTGAGCTCAAGGACCACTTCATGTCAGTGGTGAAATATGGCGTTGTTGGGATTTCACATAGCATTGAAGAATTTTAGATGGAAATCCCATTAACTAAACAAACAAAACCAAAAAAATCATGAAACAACTTTTGGTTTCATGATTTTACTAAAACTTGAATTAAAAAATAATTTCTAGGTAATGTATTTGTGTTTTACCTTTGTGTTCATGCATATTTTTATTTGTAGGAGGGAGTTGCCTTATGTATGTTCATGCAAAACACATTAACAAGATTAATGAGGTAATGTATTTCTTTTTTTAAGATTTGCTTTTGTTGGAAAGGCGGGTTGCAGATAAAAGGAGAGACAGAGAGAGAGAGAGAGAGAGATATCTTTGCCCTTTTTGTTCACTTCCCAAATGGCTGTAACAGTTGGAGCTGTACTGATCCAAAGCCTGTAGCCAGGAATTTCCTCTGGGTCTCCCACACTGGTGCAAGGGCCCAAGGACTTGAGCTGATTTCCCAGGCTCCAAGAGGGAGCTAGACTGGAAGTAGAGCAGCTGGGACATGAATCTGTGCCCATAAGAAATGCTAGCACTGCAGGCAGAGGATTAGTGTGCTAAGCCATTGCACTGGCCCCTAATTTTAAAAATAGTTTTATAAGACTCAATAATGGATCTTTATTTTTCAATTTTTTTCACTTAAAATGTAACAGCTGATTTTCAATTTATATTTATCCTAATATGAGCTACATTGTTGTGCTGTTGGAGGTAGTCATTTAATTAAATAGCACAAAATATTTTTTAAAGAGGAGAAATGAGAAATAAAAACAATTTAAGACAGAATGCTTTTCCCCAAAAAGCTTACATAACTGGCTACATGAAGGAGTACACATTGAGAAAGTTAAGTGGTTATATTAGGGCAGAGTAAAGATATTAATCAGGAGTTGACACATGAAGTTTACTTCGTACTGAAAATCAGTAGGATGTGTATTGGAATGGTCTGTGACCAGCAGAAAGAAAAAGAGCCAGGGATTGGAGAAGGTCTTTGTAGCTTTCTTAAGCAGATGGGTGTAATGTGCACCTGGGTGGGGAAAACAGGGAAAGTATATTTCCTAGCATGCCTAGCGTTTGGGTTCTCAGGGGTGGCGACTTTTGGCTGAGTAGCATTCTATTTTCATATTCCAAATGTAAAAAAAATTGAAGAATTATGAAAGCTATAAAAATCATCCATTTCAAGCATACTTATTACTTGGACATGATAATATCTTCAGTAGTATCATATCTCAGAGTCCAAAAATAATAGAATCCTAAAAATGCCATTCTAATATACCTTTGTTATTGGTTGAGCTCATGTCCACCTCATTTTTTTTATTACATTTGGCTTTCTTAGCTGAACATGTAGAATTATTTTTAAAGAAATAATCCCACCTGCTTTGGAAAATATTTATTAAGAATATTTTAGTTTGGGCCCAACGAGGTGGTCCAGAGGCTAAATCCTCATCTTGATTGCACCAGGATCCCATATGGGATGCAGTTCAAGTCCTGGTTGCTCCACTTCTTTCTAGCTCCCTGCTTGTGGCCTGGGAGAGCAGTAAAGGATGGACCAAAGCCTTGGGACCCTGCAGCCACATGGGAGACCTGAAAGAAGCTCCTGGCTCCTGGCTTCAGAATATCTCAGCTCTAGCCTTTTCAGCCGTTTGGGGAATTAACCAGGAGATGGAAGATCTTGCTCTCTCAGCTCTGTAAATCTACCTTTCTAATAACAATAACAAATAAACCTTTAAAACAAATATATTCCAGTTACTCTTAGACCTGTATTTTTGAACTTCATTAGAACTTAGGGGGAAAAAAATCCCAATGGTTTTGATACATTTTAGATCACATTTTTAACTGTTCTTCATGAACAGAAAACATAAGAGGATTAATTTGCCAGAAACTTGTGTTTCTATATAGAATTACCCAGTGGTTCATTTCAAGCAATAATGAAAGATTTTTGCTGGGAACCTTAAGAGCATACTTTTAGAGCTCTGAATTCTATACTATATTTCCTCCCATGGGAAACTCTTAGTTGATGTCAGCTGACAGTGCTACATCAAATTATTCCCAGTTGCCAGGAATAACTCAGTGAAGTTGCAGGACATCAAAGTTGCTGGCATTGTGACACCCTGCTTACATCCACCTGCCAGTGCATTGTCAAAAGCAGCATCCCCCGCAGGTATTGGTTTAAGTCCTGGCTTCTCGACTGCTGATGCAGCTCTCCGCCAGTGCTCTTGAGAAAGCAGAAGATGGTCCAAGTGCTTAGTCCCCTGCCGCCCATGCAGGAGACCTGGAGGGAGGTCCTAGCTCCTGATCTTGACCTGGCCCAGCCCTAGCCCTTTGGACCATTGTGGGAAGTGAGCCAGCAAATTAAAGGATTCTTCTCCCCCTTCCACTTCCCTTCCCTTTCTCCTTAATCCTTCTCTCTCTCCCCCTGACTTTGTCTTTCTCCCTGTCCCCCTCTCCTTCCCCGAGTCTCTTACTGTCCCTTTCTCTTTTTGTAATTCTATCTTTTAAAAAAATTCAGTAAGCCTTAGAAGTCGAAGAGCTGCAAGTTACCAAAGATATGTATTTATTTGAAAATTACAATATGACTACAGTGTAAACTTACGGTTAATTTTTTAATCAAACTGACATTCAAAGAGGTAATTTGATAAATCTTAGCATTTTGGTATACTTATTATGTCTAACTAGAAAGGTTCAAAGTTTAGCTACTCTCTGATGTGTTACTGGAAATACTACAATTATGTTGTACCCAGTAAATATAAAGAGTTTTAAAAACAGATGTTTGTAAATTAGTACTGAAATTAAGATACTAATGTCTACTTTTTCCTTAAATATGCAGACTTCCCTTAATCAGCGTTGCACTGGTTCAAGGTCGAGCACTGGGGGGAGGAGCAGAATTTACAACAGCATGTGATTTCCGGTATGATGAAAATTGCATTATTTTTGCACAAATTAATTACTATGTACTCTATTTTATTTTTGCTTTCATATCAATTTTATTTCACATATTCTTAAATAGGAACTTTTTGTTATTAGAGTGGGTGCTTTGAGTCTGGTGTAATTACCATGCAATTCAAAAAATTAAGAAATAGCAATGATTCTGGATAACACTAAATCCATATTAGCTAAACTATAAAAAAGCTAAGTAAATTTATGAAGATGTTTAAATTCTTTAAAGTCCAAAAGAATTTGTCAAATAAAAATAAATGTCTTTTAAAAATAAACAACAACAAAGGAAAAGAGAATGGAGAATGACAGACTGCTATAGCTTTCCTTTTGCCAATAAAACATTTTCTGAGATCCATTTCATATCTTTCCTCTACTATCATTTATAGAAACTCTGTGGTGCTTTGAGACTCACTTGGGAATAAAGTTATTTGGGACCAATAACTCTTCAGTCTCTAGAGTTATTTTCTGTATTCTATAATGATACTACTTAGAAATAACATTTGTTGAAATCTAATGCTTTACATGTGCTTGAAACCATTTTCTCAATTCCATGAGCAAGACCTGGTAGTGCAATATCAGGAGACCAGTACTCCATAATCTGTGTAAACACAAACCTGAGCCTCTTGATAATGTGAATGTAGTATAAATGGCACAATTAGAGAGCGGCGTAGTGTCTCAGTATGTTGATCCATGAAATCAAATTACCTTCAATAAATATTGATGTGAAGTTTAAACAACTGTGTGGATGCTGTATTTGCCAGGTCAAGCATTATAAAGTCTGGAACTGAGCAGGAAGCTTGATGTTGAAAACTGAAGAAGGAAACTCCCAATCGATATAGTGAGTTTATAAAATAAACTTACAAGACATCAGCCCAGGACAGGCAACAGTCCAGGCATAGCTGCAGCATGATTTATTCTACACAGAGTAGAAGACACAAGCCTTTGTACTTTTGTAAACTACGAGGGGGCTGAGGGTTGGAGTTCATATTACAATGTTCCTTTACTATTTGGTAATAGCACCCTAGACCAGCTTCCTTCTGAGAAAAAAAAAAAAAACTCAAGATGACAAGATTCGCTGTCACATAACATAATAACATTTAGATTTCCACATGCTTAACCTAAGGGACACGTTGGTATAAACATAATATTATTGTTTAATGTCTTAAAATTACCCTCTACCACTATTTTTTTCACATGGCAGATTTTTAAACTATTTCCAGTTTGGGATGTTTTTCAACCTCAGGGCTCACTAGCCTGAGTTCTTATTTTTTCTATTTTTTATAAGTTGATTCTGGCTGACAAAAATCTTGTAGTTATCCACAGGAAACTTTTAACTCTCACTTTCAAACTCTAAAGAGAAAGGCGTTCTGCTGTGGCATGTAGTATTCTGGATGCTTCAAGACATCCTGCACTGCACCTCAGCAATTTCGGAAAGTAACTCTATTGACGTATAGATTAATTGTATAGTGTAAGTGAATTTTGAGGAGCATATATACCCATTTGACTACCTCCACAATCGAAATACAAAATATTTGTATCACTCATAAATACTTGCATAATAGCACTTCTGAGTCACTTTCTGTTCCTTCTTCAAAGAAATACTAGTCACTTTCTCACTTTAGTTTTTCTGTGTTGCAGCATTTTATATAAATGTTTTTATATAACACAGACTTTTGTGTCATGTTTCTTGAATTCAGTAGAATTACTCTGAGATTCATTCTTGTGGTAATACTTGATTAATTTTGAAAAGGTTTCCTTTTGAGATTTGTCTACATTATTGCATCTCAGTGTTTTTGTGTTTTGTTTTTCAATAGTATTCCTTTTTGTACTTACATAGCACCGTAGGTATCACATATTAATGGATATATGTTCTCTTCCCAGTTGGGAACTCTTATGCCTGAAGTTACTGTGAATATATGTGTATAAGATCTCATACATACAAGGACATAGGTTTCATTTCTTTTGGCCAAAAGCCCAAAAGTAGAAGCACTAGGCAATGTGATATGTGCCTAATTTGAACTAAGAAAATGGCTTCTTTTTAAAAATCTAACTTAATTTTTAATATTATTAACATAGTTGAAAGGGATGCACAGCCATGCAGTCTCTGAGTAGAGTGGGGAGGCTGAGGTGTGGAAGAAGGAGGGTGGGATAAACGTTTCAATTATTTTTCTCCTATTTCCCCAGAAAGGGAATGGGAGGGCGCACTCCTTACTGCTGAACTAGAGGCAGTCGCTTTATGTCACCTTAGAGACCCTCATGTGGGAAGGAGTGTTCTGACAGTGTTTCTTGAGTGATTTTCATAGTTCTGAGATGTCTTTAGCTTTGTTGGACCAGGGCTGAGAATATCTTTCCAAGGTCTGCTGACTGGCCACGTCCATCTTAGTCGTCCAACCTCTTCTTCTTTCTATCCTCTAATGAGACAGTCACTGTCCTCTTCTGGCCTACATGAGCTGGCTGTCATGTCCCCTCTGTGGGCATCATATCCACTTCACAAGCATCAGCAACTGAGGAGGTCCAGTCCCAAATACGGACTCTAAGGTTATAGCACGTGCATTGTGCTTTTCCCTGTGGCTGGGGTTTGAGTCTAGCCATTTAGTGAGGAATCACCCAAAAAACTTTGCCTGGGGTGACTTTACACTGTACCAACCAGTGTAAGCTCAGGTTTGGTCTGTCACCCACATGAGCCAACACACATACCAGTGGATGCAGCTGTCTGGTTAGTTCTGCCTCAGGCCCCATCTCATGTGAACTCATGGGTACTGTAGCCTAGCCCAGCCCAACCTACCACAGGCCTGGTCTTCACATATACCAACGGAGCTGTGGCCTAACAGTGGAGAACCCTAATTTCCCTATCAGGGTCATTCCCTGCTCTAAATCTCAAATGTGTTGGCAGGTGCCACCACCCTATCTGGAATCTACTTGGCATCTACCATTAGTCTTGGCCTTTACATGTGCCAGTGGGTGCTGTAGCCTGAGTGAGTGCCATAGTCCAGCCTGGCTCAAAGTGTCACCACCCCAGCTCTCTGCACAACCAGCAGGTGCTATAGTCCCACAGAGGTGAGCCCACAGTTCCCCTATAGAATATACCCCCAGATCTAGTTCTCTTGCATTCTGCTGGGTACTGTGATCCACCCAGTCTGATGTTGCCCACCTCCTGCTCTGACACTCGCAGGCAGATACTGCAGCCTAGCCCAGGCAGGCATACTCCCCTGCCTGGCTTTTGTGATGCTATTTAGCCCAGCCCAGGGCTCCCACATGGTCAGGTGCCTTGGCCTGACCCAGTCATGCCCTCCAATTTCTCCCCCTTTAAACCATTCCATCTCAGTTCCCTTTCTACCAGCAGGTGCAGTGGCCCCATCCATGGAGATGCCAGATTTCAATCCTTCCCTGTCAAACATGCCCTCAGCTTCTCCCATTCCCTGGGTAATCTGCAGGTCCCCTGCCTGGGGCCAGGTTGGCATGTCCTGGCCTGGTATTCCCTGCCTTCCCCACATATCTTTAAAATATAGTTAAAATAGAATAGACTACTATGCTGGCACACTGGTATAGTTAACACAAAATTGACATTAACCAAGTCCAGAGTGCCTGCCAGCTATCAACTGCCTTTCTGGCAATTGTGTAAGATTTGCCTACATACAAAGCAACCTAGCCAGTTGCCTACAGCTGGGAAGAAATTGATTTTTTAAACCTTTACTAGGTGGGTTGTGGAATTTTACTCTCCGGTCACCAATAGATAAAAAATACAGCTGTGCCACATATATGCCAACTGTTGATACTAAATCTTTTTTTTTTTTTTATATTTAGACATTTAATTAATGGGAACCATTGTGGAATCTCATTCTCTTTTCAACTGCCTTGATAATTAATAGTGTTGAGCATCTTACAATATGCTTCTTGGTCATTTGTTTAAAAAGGAATATGGATTTCAAGCACCAGTAAAGAAGATTCTTTATTTATCTATTTATTCTTTTTTTATTGGTGCTTGAAATCCATATTTCTTTTTAAACAATTGATTTGTCTTATTATTGAATTATAAAAGTTGTTTATATATTCTGTATAAAATTCCATAAGTCAAATATAGTATCCTTTTTGTTATATAAAAAAAAATTGTGATTATTTTCTCCCCTCCCATGACTTACTTTTTTCTTTTTAGTGTCTTTAAAGACAGATTTTAATTTAAAAAGTGTTTTCAGCTTCTAATGTTGAAATATTTATAAATGTATGGCAGACTTATAATAATCATGTATAATCTCCATATATGTTTTACAGTTTCTCCAAATGTTAATATCTCATATGTCCACAATATTATTACAAAACCAAGAAATTTAAATTGATATGAGGACTACTCCATATGCCTAAAGGAAGTTTTTTGAGTTATCATACCAATGCCCTTTTTCTGGGCCAGGATCCAATTAGGAATCTATTTTGTTGATATAGATATCTCAAATGTTTCAGCTAATATTTTTCTATAATTCCAACAAGACCTGTAATGTTTTGTATGGCTTCATAAGGTAAATATTAAATACTTTTTTTCAACATCACAAAATGGAATTTTTTATGGTTTATTTATTTTTATTACAAAGTCAGATATATATATAGAGAAGGAGAGATAGAGAGGAAGATCTTCCATCCCATGAGTTACTCCACTTGTGACTGCAGTGGCCGATGCTGTGCTGATCCAAAGCCAGGAGCCAGGAACTTCCTCCAGGTCTCCGACACGAGGTGCAGCAGGGTCCCAAAGCTTTGGGCTGTCCTTGATTGCTTTCCCAGACCACAAGCAGAGAGCTGGATAGGAAGTGGAGCTGCCGGAATTAGAATGGGCACCCATATGGGATCCCGGCGCGTTCAAGGCGAGGACTTTAGCCACTAGGCCACGCCGCCGGGCCCACCAAATGGATTCTTATGACAATAAAATAGTATGATAAAAGATTAAGTTACTCTATGCAAAAGAGTAAATTTTTGTGTTTTTTC